CCCAACCTTTTTTGTCCGAGTTGCAAGTCCATCCTCGACTCGCAACTAGGGTCCAACCTTTTTTGTCCGAGTTGCAAGTTCGTCCTCGACTCACAACTGGGGCCCAACATTTTTTGTCCGTGTTACAAGTCCACCCTTGACTCGCAACTAGATCCCAACCTTTTTTGTGTGAGTTGCAAGTTCACCCTTGACTCGCAGCTGGTGCCCGGCATTTTTCAGTCCCAATTGCGAGTCCATCCTCGATTCGCAATTGGGGCCGACCTTTTTCCCGCTTGCAAGTCCACTGTCAACTCACAACTGGACCTCGACCCTTTGTAGTCCCAGCTGCAAGTCCAAAGTCGACTCGCAACTGGGGCCCAACCTTTTTTTATTTCCAGTTGAGAGTCCACCCTCGACTTCCCATTGGGGGTCCAATTTTTTTTCCTAGTTTCAAGTCTGCCCTAGTCAGTGAACAAACTGCAGATGAGCTGGCCCAAGTAGCTAGGATACCTTTTTTTTGTTTTGTTTCATTTTCTTCATGTTCTTTTTGCTTTTTTATTTATCATATTTCTTATTGTTTTTCATCTACTTTTTATTTTTCTATTTTCAAAAGTTGATCTCATTTTTTCATATTCTGATAATTTTTTGTTTGTTCGTAAATTCACAAGTTTCAATACATGTTTCAAAATTTGTAAATTAGTTCATTTTTCTAAAATTGTTCATGTTGATCAATTTTTAAGGCAAATCAAAATGTGTTTATTTTTTGTTTTCTTCTTATTATCTATTTTCTCTAAAAAATCCGTCTGCTTTTAGTTCAATGTATATAAAAAAGTTCGCTTTTAGTTCATCGTATATAAAAAAGTTCATGTATATCAAAAACAATGTTCTGTGTGTATTGGAATAAAATAGTGTGTATTCAGAAGATGATTATCATATATTAAAGTATTGTTCACCATATATTAGAATATTTTTAGCATTCGTTAACATTTTTTATTATTTGAAAAATTATGTAAATTCCTGCACATGTTTTTGAAATATGTGTTGATGAAATTTCCTTATTTACTACAAATTAATTATAAAATATAGTAGTGAAAAACGCAAAAACCAAAAGGCAAAAAATAAAATAAATCGTTGGTAGCCTAGAAGCTAGCTATGTGATCAGAGGCAAAAGCTAACTAAGTCGATTTAGCACTAGCGATCATTTTGTTTTCCATATAAAGCTAGCGATCAGGTTCCCTAAAAAAAGTTCCTTGTACGGTAGCTAGCAACCAGATTTTTTTTATGAGGGGAGCTAGTGACCAGATTTATGTATAGGCCGGTCACCAAGGCGGAGGCACGACAAGGTAGTTTTCAGTTTTGGACTTCAACAAATTAAAATCAAACAAACAAGACAAACAAACAGGAAAAAAACTTTAGATGTGAGATATTATCTCACATCTAGATGTGACATAGACAGACTCAAATAAATATAGGAAAGAAGGGAAGCAACGTGGCAACTTCCACGCCACTGCCCCGCAAGGAAAACCTCCATGCCACCTACCGTACCGCTAGCTGCAAATCAGTGAAGTCCACTAGTCCACCTACCGCACATCAAGCAGAGTGTGCTAGAGAGCCATGGCTATGGAGGTTCTGTACCCGCTCTTCCTCTGCCTCGCCGTGCTCGCCGGCACGGCAGCCTCCGCCCCACCACACTCGCGGTGCCTCGACAACCCACCAGACTTGACGGCGGCCAGGGTCGAGTCCGGAAAGGTCGTCCATGACTTCGCCGGCTACAAGGCGTATGTCACCGGCGCCATCCACTCCGACCGGGCCGTCGTCCTGGCCTCTGACGTCTTCGGTTAGTTTATTTGACTAAACTGTACATGGAACATGTTGGTTCAGTCTATATTTGTGCAATTTTGTGTGAAGGAGAACATGGAACATGTTTTCCTTTTGTGTGAAGGAGAACTGTACGTATGAACATGGCTTTTGCATTTTCATTTCTTCAGGATTCGAAGCGCCGTTGCTGAGGTTCGACAATCCACTGCCGATCATTTTAAGTATTTCTGCTCCATCAAAAAGACCTGACCACTATTTGTTAAGTTTCAAGTTTATACATGGTTTTGTTTCGAAGAAAAGAAAAGTAAATTTAAGCGTACGGAATTCAACGCAAAAATGGATGTCCTGGATATAGTGTGTACATGCCGTGGCGGCAACAACTTTCCCTTTCGTCCTCTTATATAAGCAACATACTTCCTTCGGATGGGGATATAAGTCATGCATGGATTTGTCGTCAAAAAAAGTTTCTAAATATGTTTTTTTTGTATTTGCTAGTTAAATTGACTACCTAAATAAATTCCTAGGTCAGACTAATATTCTCGTCCTCCAAAGGAAGTAGTAACACTGCTGTTTAAATTAAATAGTACGTACAAAGTGACATGAGCATGCATATAGTGTCGTGCCGATCAATAACTTCTTTATCCCCATATCTATGCATCTATAAGTAGGAATCGTGCACAGTGTTGCTATACAAGACGGACAAGTTTATGGCCGACGCGTGCGGGATTGTACGTGGAGGCCAGCAGAGAGACTGTAGGGAGGTGGTTATTTGTTCTCTTTTCTTTTAACTGATGCTAGTGCTGTTGGACACGAATCATCATTCGTGAACCGTGTCCAAAGGGTCGTCCACGAATCAATTTCGAATCATGTATGGTTGTGAATAATGTTTAACATGACAAGGAAGGAAGATAGCAGACAAAGTTGGTGAAGCTGGATACTATGTCGTGGTCCCTGATTTCTTTAATGGGCAACCTTTAACGGGGACACCAGGTGAAAACCTCACAAAATGGCTCAATGAACATTCTCCGGTAATATATTTCAACAATAACATTCCCTTGACTTTTTATTAAACATTTATATTGCTTTTCTCGACTATATTAGTCTAATACACCTTGGAGTATATTCTCATCAAAGTGGTAAGTTCCAAAAGAAACCGGTATATTTTGTTGAAGTTTTGTAGTGGTTCGGGCGGAAATAGATTTACTGTCAGGATAATTTTCCAAATGTTATCTTATTGGCTTGGTTTACCTAACAGGTAAAAGCTGCTCAAGATGCCAAACCAATATTTGCGACCTTGAGAAAAGAGCAAAAATTTAGTCTTGGAGTTGGCGGATACTGTTGGGGTGGTCAGTGAAATCAATATAAATTATTGAAAGTAATCATAATACAATCAACTTTAAATCTTTCATCCTAGACTTAATCCGATAATCCTTTTGTTATGTTGCACTAACAGGAAAGTTCGCAGTGGAGATAGCGAAAATGAATGAGGCGAAGGCAATTGTCATCTCCCATCCTTACTCAGTCATTGTCGGCGATATGAGAGGTGCACTTTTATTTGTACTTATGAGGTTGTTAGTACCAATGTGACTCCCTTGTGTTCACATTTGAAGTTTATCTGGAACTCAGAGGTCAAGTGTCCCATTGAAATCCTTGGAGGTGAAAATGACCCAACTACACCACCAAAGTTCATATATAAGTTCTTGAATGTCCTTCGTAAAAGAAGTGATAAGGTGAGTTATTTTTTAGTTCGTTGACTCTTGATGTCATTAACATAGTTATGCTCGCATTGTTATTCCAAAGTTTGAAATGTAGTTTTTTGAAGAACAAGATCTATTTTTAGAATATCATAGTGTGTATAATTGCTACACATCTACCGAAATGAAGAAATATAACTATTTTTATCGAATACGGCCTCATATTTCCTGACATAGTTGTAGCTGGATTGATCTTAAAGTATGCAATTACTCCATATTTCCTCTGCTGTCAAATTTACGGTTTTATGAAGTATTCATAGTCGTACTCAATTTGGCTTTCAACTTTAATTTAGATTAGGATATGCTAATAAAATTATCACATTCTACAATAATTTTAATAAAAAACATTGTTACTTTGTATCGTGAGAAAGTTTGACGCGGTAACATTTCTTTGACAACTAAATGAGAATGGAGGTACAACCATGGATGTGTAGTTCTGAACTTTGTTGACAGGATTTGGTAGGTTTATAAAAAAATGGGTAGGCCTATGAAAAAGGTGTTAGACTGCCTAAGACTTCTATACACCATCTCATAAGTGAATTCACATGACTGGTCAGAAGTTCTTTTTAACCCAAGTGCTACCTAGACTCATATCATATTGCTTTGTTGCAGATACCTTACTTCGGGAAGATCTTTCCAGGAGTTGCCCATAGCTTTGCTTGTAGGTACAATATCACCAACCCGTTCGAAGTCAAAACCACTGAACAAGCTCTTGCCCTAATGGTTGGATGGTTCGAGAAACACCTGAAATGATAAATGCTAACCATAAAGGTCAGATTGATCCGACCTAGTTAGTTTCATATCCATGTAAAAGTTTCCAGCACAATATTTATGTAATTGCATATCCATACACTCAATGTACATGCAGTGACCATGATTTGTGAGTCCTTTGTAACCTCCTTTGCATGTAATTTATTTATGGAAGGTTTAGAGATTTCAACATCATACTAAGATATATAACATAATTCACTTTGACATTCTTTTCTGATATCAAGAATCTGCATAGACTTTATTAGGTGTATTTTTCTTAACAATTCTTGTATATATGAGTTGACTATACCCTCTAGAAAATATATCATAAAATTTTAAACCCATACTATCAATAATGGTTTGCATCATCGACTACTCCCCGGATAATATCAAGAAACGCCCTTCTTACTAGTCCTCTCTTTGTGGTTGAAAAAGGAGTATACAATTAATTTTCTAAAGTAAAATGTGGAAAAATTGATCAAGTATATCAAACAAGCTCCACTACTAAAATATAAAATGTATTTTCACATTGAATCTACTTTGTATTCTAACTGTTGATAGTTTTAAATGAACTTGATCCAATTTTTTACCATTAATTTGACCTCAAATAAATTTGTTTATGTTCTTTCGAGCTCACAATGGAGTTGTAAAGAAGATATGACCTGGCTTTAGGGCGAACAACCTCTCACTCTCTAGATGAACATGTATTTTTCTATGGGTGCCCATGTTATATGGAAACACTAAAACCGATACCGCTGATTTTCTGTCTAGCATCAGTCTCGTATCGTGCATGTCACGTGCCTATGTTGGGCCCACCCATCGCTTCTACATCAAACCTTATCTCCAAGTGAACCGCCCGTCCACCCGTTTCTCTCTCACATCATCTCTCTCCCCCTGCTACCTTTTCAAGTGTCTGACTCGACATGAAGAAGATTGGATCCATTGACACCCGCTGCTACAAGACATGGCTCTGCCATCGTGCGGGTCCAGATCCATCGGTTGTTGTTGCAGCGTAGTAGAGATTGATTCTTTCTAGCCCCCCACCCCCAACCTGCTGCAATAGTGAAGGTGCAGCTTCTACGGCGATGGCAAAAGGAACATCGGTGCTGCTGCGACAAGCGCTGCAATTGAAGATACTACAACAGCAACAACACAATAATGATGGTGTTGCAACTCGGAAGGGTGGTGCCGACATCATCGAACATGCTGCAAACTAGAAGGGCATTGTAGTTACCACTATTGCATACGCCTCACGATAACATCCGCCATGCTGCAATCGTCGGTGCCTCTGCAAGGCCAGGGCGAACGATCACGATGCTGCGCTGCATGCTGTTGCCGCAATGACAGCGAGACGGTGCTTCTACAACCACGGTGATATGTTCCAAAACAGTGATGGTGTTGCAACGCTTCAGCAACTATGGTGGAGTTGCAATGCTTCCACAACAATGGTTGTGTTGCAAATAGAGTCGTGCTTCAAAAGGCTGATCCAACAATCCTAGGTCGCATGATCAAACGGCGGGACCCGGCAGATAACTACTCCCTCCATTCCACAATGTAGTGCCTATATATTTTTGTGAAAGTCAAACTTTGCCAACTTTGACCAAGTGTATAGAGAAAACTGTCTACATCTACAATACCAAACATTACCAGTGCAGAACCGGCCTTTAGTGCCGGTTCGTGATGGCCTTTAGTGTCGGTTCGCCAACCGGCACTAAAGAGTGGGG